ATTATTTTTATTTATATTTATTTACTTATTTGAGACAGGGTCTCACTGATTGCCCAGGCTGGAGTGCAGTGGCCCAATCTTGGTTCACTGAAGCCTCAAACTGCTGGGGTCAAGTTATCCTCCCACCTCAGCTTCCCAAGTAGGTGAGATTACAGGCATGTGGCACCACACCTGGCTAATTTTGGCATTCGTAGTAGAGACGGGGTTTCACTGTGTTGCCTATGCTGGTCTGGAACTCCTGGACTCAAGCAATCCACCCTCCTCAGCCTCCCAAAGTACTGTGATTACAGGTGTGAGCTACCTTGCCAGCCTTATTTTATTTTAGTTTTTAAAGACTTTAATTTTTTTTAAGAGCAGTTTTAGGTTCACAGCAAAATTGAGAGGAAGGTACACAGAGATTTCTCATATACCTCCTGGCCCCACACATGCATAGCCTCCCCCATTATAACATCCCCCACAACAGTAGTTCATTTATTACAGTGGACAAACCTACATTGGGACATCATAATCACCCAAAGTCCATAGTTTACATTAGGGTTCATGCTTGGTATTACACATTCTACGGATTTGAAAAAAATGTATGACATGTACCCACCATTGTAGTATTAAACAGATTAGTTTCTGCCCTAAAAATCCTCTTTGTCTCCCTCCTTTTTGCATATACGACTGAAATGCTCTGTGCAAAGGCATGGTTCATACAATATGGCTCAGCTGCAACCTGGGATCTACTAGCCTGGTGCACTTAGGCTTGGCTGTGATGCAGGAGTTAAGGGTTGGCAGCTGGCTATAGCAAGAGCCTAGATCTAGTTAATTTTTCTCAGTTCTCTGGGACCAACTCTGTTTTCTGTCTACGTCTACCTTCCCCCTTTTCATGCTCTTCAACCTACATCTTCACTCTCCCTTTAACTCCTCTTCCCTTTAACTCCAGGGTCAGAAGTCTAGTGAACACAGTGATCGATGCCTGCACATAACTGATAACAGTGCTGACTTGAGTACCAATCTAAATTATGTGATAAAAGAGCTATCATTCATTACAGCTGGAGGCTTAGATCTTAGACTACTCCCAGAATCCAGAATATTTTTGCTTTAGAGACACAAAATATTAATTTTGTTTTTGTTTGATTTTGAGACAGTATCTTGCTCTATCACCCAGACTGGAGTACAGTGGCATGATCACAGGTCACTGCAGCCTCGACCTCCCTGGTTCAAGCGATCTCCCTGCCTCAGTCTCCCAAGTAGCTTGGACTACAGGCATGCACCCCCACATGCAGCTAATTTTTGTATTTTTTGTAGAGACAAGGTTTCGCCATTTTGCCCAGGCTGGTCTCGAACTCCTAAGCTCAAGCAATCCTCCTGCCTCGGCCTTCTAAAGTGTTGGGATTACAGGCATGAGTCACCATAACCAGTGACACAATATTAATAAGAAAAAGTACTTTTGCCAGCCACAGTGGCTCACACCTGTAATCCCAGTACTTTGGGAGGCTGAGGTGGGCGGATCATGAGGTCAGGAGTTTGAGATTAGCTTGACCAACATGGTGAAACCCTGTCTCTACTAAAAATACAAAAATTGGCTGGGAGTAGTGGCAGGCACCTGTGATCCCAGCTACTTGGGAGGCTGAGGCAGGAGAATCACTTGAACCCTGAAGGTGGAGGCTGCAGTGAGCCAAGATCCCACTGCTGCACTCCAGCCTGGGCAACAAGAGTGAAATTCCATCTCCAAAAAAAAACAAACAAACAAAAAAAAAAAACCTTTCATTGTGACGAGAGATAGGTAAATAGTGAATTACCTGATAATCAATGGCACTTTGAAGGAAAAAAGATAATATATCCCCCAGCCATGACCTAAGGACTACAAGATTCTGCACTTCCTGATCCTACTTGAAGTCAGAAGGAACTTGGCCCAGTATAAGTAAATTGCAAGGATTTGGAAGAAAAAGGGGAAGGATCTACACACATTTTCAAGGATACTGTATTTTGGAGAAACAAATTTAATAATCTGAGAACTGTTACTATGGTACTACACAGTTGAATAACAATTTTTCTTGGAGAGACTAGAATTAAGCTATTTTATAAAAGCACCGAGAGACTGGATCAATAAATACCCTGCAAATTTGATAGTGAGAGAAATTCATTTATTTTTATTTTTAATTAAAAAATTTTTTGGCCGGGCATGATGGCTCACGCTTGTAATCCCAGCACTTTGGGAGGCCGAGGCGGGTGGATTACATGAGTTCAGCAGTTCAAGACCAACCTGGCCAAAATGGTGAAACCCCGTCTTTTTAATAAATAAATAAATAAATAATTTTTTGACACAGAGTCTCGCTCTGTCGCCCAGGCTGGAGTGCAGTGGCACGATCTCAGCTCATTTCAACGTCTGCCTCCCAGGTTCAAATGACTCTTCTGCCTTAGCCTCCCGAGTAGCTGGGGACTACAGGCACCCCCCACCATGCCCAGCTCACTTTATTGTATATTTAGTAGAAACAGGGTTTCACCAGGTTGGCCACCGTCTCTCAAAAAAAAAAAAAAAAAAAAAAAAAAAAGTTAAAAACAAAAAAATCTCAATCTCTATTTCCCCCATCCCAAATAAAACGAAACCTTGGAATTCTTTTTTTCCCCTCCCCTCCCGCTACGCCCCTTGAATTGTATAGGCCGGTGGTTAGGGAGTACGAAGGGGACCGTCTTCCTCAGTTGTGACCCCTCTCATCAGGTCTGGGAAGAGGTAACTGGAAAACAGAACATATAGAAGTGTTACCACAGGCCATGTACAAGGCCAGAATTTCTCTGACCTCTGTCCGCCAGCACCGCCTGTTAAATGTACAATTCCACAAGAGACTCGCCAAACTTGGTGGAGTCACCCGCTTACAAGGGCTCGCTCTCCACCTGCGCAAGGACTGCAATTCCCAGGGTCCTCCAGGGCACCCGGCTGCGCCAGTCCAGATGTGCAGGCGGCGCGCTCTTTCCTGCTCCGCTCAAGTCCAGGAACCGGTTCCCGGCTTCCCAACCCGGCTGCAGCGCCCACGCGCCTGGGTCCGAGTAGGCGAGCGAAAGCGGGAGGCGCGGAGGCTTCTGGGAGATGGAGGCCGAGGCTGAGACCTGCGCAGGCGCAAACTCACAGCTGGGGTGAGGGCTGGAAGTCGCGCGGTTCGTGGCAGCGCCCCGATGGAACCTCCTGGTCCTGTGAGGTGAGTGTTGGCGGCGGCTTGCCAGAGGTCCACCTCGCGGACTGGCTTTTGCCCGTCCCGCAGGCAGCAGCAGCTCTGCAGTGAGCAGGCCTGGCAGGCAGCTCCGCGGGTGTGTGTGGAGAGGGGTTTGGGTGGCCCACGGTGCCCGCACCGCGCTGTCCGCGTTGCGTCACGTGCCGTGGAGGGGGGTCTTGATGACCCTCTTCTATTTTCTCGAGATCCCTGGATAAAGGGGTAAAGGGTGGGAGGAGGAGTTGTACCTGGCCTGGACGACAGCCCCCACCCCAGGCTCCTGGGAGGGCACCTGCCCAAGGCTGGGATAGAGAAGTTCTGATGCTGGGGCCAGCGCCTCCGGGCATCACCCTGGGAGACATGGGATCTGCGTTTTTCTTCGCGTCTCCTTTGTCTTCTGCCAGCAGTCCCCGTTTGTGCTCCTTTCGTGGCTACTGGTGCGTCCCACCTCATTCCCTGTGTGAACGGAAAATAAAATCTCGGGATCCCAAACTTACTATGCCAAGGAAAAAGTTAAGCTTGGAAACGGAGTCACGGAAAAAACAAACAACTGCTTTTCCTTTTGTTCCTAAACCGATAAGTGCAAGATAGAAAGCCACGTAACACCCCAGATGACCTGGCAATGGAAATGATCAGCCCATCTTCACCAGACAAGACTAGAAATCGCCCTCCACTCACCCAGAGACAAAGCATATTTGACTTCTTCCTCTATGTCTACTTTGTCTTATGCACGAGACAAAATCATAATTGAATTCCTCTTTGCACGTGCAACATGTGGATTCAGTGAGCTCTAATCAAATCCTTGAGCTCTAATCAAATCCTCACAAGAATGTGGCCACTTATCTCACTACCTACCCTCCCTCCACTTCTCTCCTTCTTCCCCTCCTGCCAGCTTTCTCCCCTTTAAATATTGAAGCCCTCAAAACCTTCTTTGGAAAAAGGGCGGGCCATGGATCCTACTGTGGTCTGTGTCTTTTTCCTGGGTGCGTCCTCAACCTTAGCAAAATAACCACTGAATTGGTTGAGACCTATCTCAGATGCTTTCTTGGTTTACACCTGGCAGATTTCCTTGATGCAGGTCACTGTATCCAAGACTTTTTCATAGCTGCCCCTTAATTGGGCCCTGCTACAAATCTTCAGCGTTTGAATGAGATCCAACTCCTTAGAGGGGACTTATATTTTTCTTTTGCTGCAGCTACTACTTCAGAATTTTTTTTTTTTTTTTTTTTGAGGTGGAGTTTCACTCTTGTTGCCCAGGCTGGTTTCTCGGCTCACCGAAACCTCCACCTCCTGGGTTCAAGTGATTTTCCTGCCTCAGCCTCCCGAGTTGCTGGGATTATAGGCATGCACCACCACGCCTGGCTAATTTTGTATTTTAAGTAGAGACAGGGTTTCTCCATGTTGGTCAGGCTGGTCTCGAACTCCCAACCTCAGGTGATCCCACCTTGTCAGCCTTCCTAAGTGCTGGGAATACAAGCATGAGCCACTGCGACTCGCCACTTCAGAAATTTTTTAAAGTGGGAGAAGCCATCTCAGAGAAGGCTGCCTCCCCAACACATCCCACCTTGCACTGAAGGCTGCTTGGCTCTGGGCTCTGCATCTGGAAACTTGGGTTTTGCTTCAGACTAGTTTCTTCCCAATAGTCATTTCTTCCCATTGGCCCCCAGAACTTTTTTTTCCTTGATGTTTTTTTCCTGTTAATGGCATTCATTTAGTTGTATTGGAGAAAACCACTTTATATCTCCATCCCTACCATACTGCAAGTTTCTCAAAAACATTGACTTAGTGTAGCAGAATTCTGGGGAGGAGTTGAAGAGAAACCAGGAGTAAAGAGTATAGTACAGGGTTTGCCTCTTAGTGGTGCTGAGTGTATGTTTAATGAATGAAAAAAAAGAAGAGAAGCCTGGGCATGGTGGCTCATGCCTGTAATCCTAGCATTTTGGGAAGCTAAGGCAGGTGGACCACCTGAGGTCAGGAGTTCAAGACCAGCCTGGCCAACATAGCAAAACCCCATCTCTACTAAAAATACTAAAAAATTAGCCGGGTGTGGTGGCTGGTGCCTGTAATCCCAGCTACTTGGGAGGCTGAGGTAGGAGAATCACTAGAACCCTGGGGGCGGAGGTTGCAGTGAGCCGAGATTGTGCCATTGCATTCCAGCCTGGGTGACAGAGTGAGACTCTATCTCAAAAAAAAAAAAAAAAAAAAAAAAAAAAGAAAAGAAAAAAAAAGAAGAGGAATGATTTCTTCTTATGTTACAGGGGGCCCTTGCAAGATTCCAGCTGGTATGAGCCTTCTGCAGAGCTAGTCCGGACTAGAATGGCTATATCACTAACAGCAGCTGAAACTCTGACCCTTCAGGGTATAAAGGGACAAGAGAAGATTATGATGATGGAACCAAAGGAAGAGGGACAGTCTTGTGAGTATGAGACCAGGCTACCTGGGAACCACTCTGCCAGTCAAGAGATCTTCCGCCAACGCTTCAGGCAACTCCGCTACCAGGAGACTCCTGGTCCCCGGGAGGCCTGGAGCCAACTACAGGTACTCTGCTGTGAGTGGCTGAGGCCAGAGAAACACACCAAGGAGCAGATCCTGGAGTTACTGGTGCTCGAACAATTCTTGACCATCCTACCTGAAGAGCTCCAATCCTGGGTGCGGGGACATCAGCCTAAGAGTGGAGAGGAGGCTGTGACTGTGCTGGAGGATTTAGAGAAAGGACTTGAACCAGAGCCACAGGTGGGAAGGGGGATTTGGTCTGTTATGGGAGCCAGATCAATGACCTTCAGGCTGGACAGAGGGGCAGCAGTAGGGGGAGTTGCCAAGTTCAAACCTCTCTTGGGCCAAGTAGAGCAGTTAGTATGTGTTTCTGTGTCTGTTTGTTCTGCCCTCAAGCCCTGAATGAGAAAGAGACTGACTCTAGCTCCTCTTCCTTCCCCTGTGCTGACTCCGAGGAGGCTCTCTAAAGTCTCCTTGGAAGCTTTGGTCCCATATAAACTGAGTGGTGCCTGATCACCTCCAGGTCCCAGGCCCTGCACATGGACTTGCACAGGAAGAGCCATGGGAGAAGAAGGAATCTCTGGGAGCCGCCCAGGAAGCAGTGAGCATCCAGCTCCAGCCTAAGGAGACTCAGCTTTTCCCAAAGAGTGGTGAGGAGCAGGTTTCTGTGGGGAGGGAGAAGAGAAAGAGGGAATATAAAGGGCACAGTACCTAGTACCTATAAAGGGTAAGTAGTAGTAGGTGCTCAAATGTTTGGTATCATCATGACAGCCTTACTCTTCTTATCTCTTAGGTGAGAGACTTTGCCCATTTCATCACTCATAAAATTAGGAGTAAGAATAACCTACCTCATAAAATGCCTCTGAGGATTAAGCTGAACTGGTGTCATATCTGGATATAAAGCCTGGCCAGCATCTCTTAACTTTAGAGAGCCCTAAATCAGGACCAGGAAATAGTTCATTTACATATGCCTTATCATCTCCACTGCACTTAACTCCTAGTCTATAATGACTCCGCCCTGAGCTAGAGGCCAGCCTTGAGATCTTTTTTTTTTTCACTTCCTGAGGCCTTGCAAAACATACTTTTTAAGCCATAAAGCACTCCTGTGTGAGATGCACCCTGACATCACCTTTATCTACCACCTCTTCCTCAGGTAAACAGCCCTATTTGAAACTCTTATGTGTGCCCTTACCTTCTACCCTTCAGATTCACCACAAAAACTTCCTTCTTGGCCTGTACATATACCCGCAAACAGCCTCTCCTCTCTCCCAGTGGCAAACACTAGACTTACAGCCTCAGGAGTGTAAACTGTCCTTGTTGGCCTCTGCAGCATCATGACCATTTTGTGAATTTGTTGCTAACCAAGAAGAGTCTACTTGATACTTGGTTTTATACCATAACCTCCCTATCACTATCAGCAAACCAAAGCATTTGAAATCAAATTCTTATTAGTTACACAGTGGGAAAAAATAGAAATGGAAATTAATTACTGTCCCAAAAGTATGTTTCTACTTCTTAGCTCTTCTTTCTTCCTTTTTTCCAGACTTTTTCTTTTCTCCTTTACTTCTGTTTAGTAAGCCTCTATTCATTTATCAATTTTATTACTTTACTTTCAAAATGAAGCTAGCTATTGTGTTTGTTTTTTTTAATAGCAAGCATATTTCAGATTGTTTTGAACCATAGCTTTTAACCTGAAAAAATGATTTTTTTTTTTTTTACTCAAATGTTCTTAGCTGCGCATAGTGGGTCACACCTGTAATCCCAGCACTTTGGGAGGCTGAGGTCAGCGAATCACTTGGGGTCAGGAGTTCAAGACCAGCCTGGCAAACATGGTGCATCTCTGTCTCTACTAAAAATACAAAAATTAGCCTGGTGTGGTGGTACGTGCCAATAATCCCAGCTACTGGGGAGACGGAGGCACGAGAATCACTTGAACCAGGGAAGCAGAGGTTGTGGTGAACTGAGATCATGCCACTGCACTCCAGCCTGGGCAACAGAGCAGGACTCTGTCTTTTTAAAAAAAAAAAAAAAAAATTGCTTATAGCCATTAAAAAAAAAAAAAGAAAAAGAAAAAATAAATGATCTTGAGTTATCTTAAAACAATTGGTTTCTGTTCTCCTTAGGCAGTAGAGAACATTACAGCGGATAAAAGAGAAAAAGAGCCATGAACATTTAAAAACAAAAAAGGCAATGCATTCTTCATTTTTTTTTTTTTTTTGGGACGGAGTTTCGCTCTTGTTACCCAGGCTGGAGTGCAATGGCGCGATCTCGGCTCACCGCAACCTCCGCCTCCTGGGTTCAGGCAATTCTCCTGTCTCAGCCTCCCGAGTAGCTGGGATTACAGGCACACGTCACCATGCCCAGCTAATTTTTTATATTTTTAGTAGAGACGGGGGTTTCACCATGTTGACCAGGATGGTCTCGATCTCTTGACCTCGTGATCCAGCCGCCTCGGCCTCCCAAAGTGCTGGGATTACAGGCTTGAGCCACTGCGCCCGGCCCATTTTTTTCTTTTTTAAGGAAGAGAAAGGCAGAGGCAGAGAGCATCAAGCAGATAGGAGGCAGGGAGCTGGAAGTCTTCCTTTCAATAAAGGAGGCAGCTATTTGAGCTTCCTCTAAAGAGGCTATAGATTTATGCAGCTGGGAAATGGAAGAGGTGAAGGTTACAGAGCCAGGAAGGGCAGTTTTTCTGCCTTTAGAAACATCCCTTTTCCTAACCCTAATGATTCTTCTTCCTTCACAACATCAGTTGACCATTCCCTAATTTCTTGAAAATATAGGAAATCCTAAAAGGATTGTGCATTGTAATTGCTTTTCTTTTTTCTTTTTCTTTTTCTTTTTTTTTTTTTTTTAGATGGAGTTT